AGCTTAATTGCAAGCCCCAGCAGGTGCGGCCTCCCTGCGGCCCCGCGGCGGTCGCCGCGGCGGTCGCCGCGGCGGTCGCCTCCCCGGCGCCGGCCGCGACAGCAACCGCCGCCAAAGCGGGCAGAGCCCGAGGTGGGTCCAGGGGGAGCTGGTGGCTGAACGGCTGGACGCAGCAACTGTCAGTTGTTTCGTCTTTACTCCTTCATCGTCTCATTGGACGCTATGGGGTTGATGATGTTTGCTTCTGCCCCGGTCCTGGAGTTCACGGTTCCCAGCCATTCCTGATTCCTGCTCATCCTTGCCCTTTTTGCTGTGCAGTGCGCGGGTCTGGTCCCATGACTCCGCCTCGTTCGGGTTCGGAGGACAACCCCACCAGCTGGGCAGCGAAGCTGAAGAAGCTGAAGAGCCACAGCCTCAATAGGTCTGATGGGATGGCCTGGGTCTTTATTCCTTGGCTGGCTCTGCAGGAGGGCTTGAGATGCCTCGGTCGTTCTTCGTTCTTCTTGGATTCAGGGTGCTCCGCTCGGGTCGAGGCTCACAAGGCTCACATTCTGAAGGACCCCTTGAAATCCTGCCCTCAGCGCCGGCTGAAAACAACAAATCCAAAAACTTAAGACGACCCTAAACCCTAACCCCTGAGCCCTAAACCCACAGAAAAAAAATCCTCGAAGAACCCGCAGCCCCTGCCCGAGGCAACGTGAATTCGCGGCTCGACTCGAACTGAAGATTCGGGGCCACGAATGGCAAAAAAGGAGAGAGCCGTGGGAGGTGTGGGGGAAAAAAGGGGCACCCCCAAAGGGCCTCAGAGAATGACACAACAGGTTTAGGGTTTAGGGTTTAGGGTTTAGGGTTAAGGGTTTAGGGTTTACGGTTTAGGGTTTAGGGTTCAGGGTTGTGTCGAGGACTCTGGGGGTGGGGGGGGAATCTTTGGGGCCCTTCGCGGCGCGAATGACGGGTTTAACCCTTGTGATGTGACGGCGTCTTCTCCAAACCCCAGCCAACCCTAAGCCCTAAGCCCTAAGCCCTAAGCCCTAAGCCCGAAGCCCTAAACCCTAAACCCTAAACCTTAAACCCTAAACCCAGTGCTGCAGAAACCCTAAACCCTTTGAGATCGATCTTTTGGAAGCCTTGGGCCCTTGGAAATGGGGGAGTTGACGATAGTAGGGGGATCCCGAATCTAGACCCGGAAAGAGTGGGATCCCTATTAGGGTTTCGGGTTTAGGGTTTAGGGTTTAGGGTTTAGGGTCTAGGGCGAGTCTAGGGTCTAAAGTCTAGGGTTTAGGGTTTAGGGTTACATATTAAGGACCCATCCCTATCTCGACCCGGAGACAGTAGGATCCCCGTTATATTAAGGACCCAATGAGGTCCTGCGAGCATCCTACACCCCCATGCTTGAAAAAAAGAGCAGAGGGCCTCAGGCCCACTTGGCTCCAGGGCAGGCCGGCGGTCCAAGGCTAAGGCCCTGTCAGTGTCTGGAGGGTTTAGGGTTTAGGGTGGTAGGGTCTTGGAGTGGTCGGTGGTTCATGAAACGAATGCAGCGCCGGCCACTTCCGCCTTCGCAGGAGAAAGCGTCGAATCATGCCGGCATGCCTTCTTGCAGGTACAACATGCGGTACATCCACGAGCGCGGTGCTTGTGACCAGTTGCCACAGGGGAGCACCGCATGTTTGCCTGCGACCTCCGCCTTCATCCTTCAGTCCTAAACCTGATGCCGAAAGCGCGCGAGCGCTTCCAGCCCGCAAGCTCCGACCCCACCAGAGCCTCACCCAACTACTGGTGCTTGACCCTACAGAGAACGGCTGCGCTTTTCAACCCACATGAACTCTCCAAGAGGGTCCAAGGGGAGGACTTCGTGTTGCCGAAGCAAGGGGCCTTGCTAGTTCGTGTGAACCCTAAGCCGCAAAGAACTGCATCTCGCTCCAAAACTCCACGTGCTGAGTTTGGGAGCCGTGTATGCCGGCGAAGGGCAGTGGGAGAAGGCTCGGATCAAGTACAGTTGGAGAGCTGTGAAAGCCGGGCACGTTCGGATGCCTAATCGCATTCCATAGTTGTGTTCATTTGCTTGCAGTTGCCACCAGTCTTCCGGAAGCACTAGACACTCCAGCCCTTGCCAGGCGGCGAACGTCATGCTCCGAGGTCGATGCCCCAGCTTTGTAATCGTGTCGATCCAAGCTGAGGAGGGCTTTAGGGCTCAACGCGTTCGGGGTTGATCAGGGTTTGGGATACTTGAGGGGCTTCAGAGTGTCGGGCATTTCCTGATTGCATCTCGAATTGTCAGGGTTGGAGGTGCGGCCTTGTGCAAAATCCAAGGTTGGAAGAGAGCGAGCGAGATCCCAGACGAACATGTGCGCTTCCGCTTCCTCATGAAGTTGCCGCGATCTCGGGTGAGTGGGAGCTGCTGCTCTCGAAGCCTTGAAGCCTTTGCGTTCTCTTCGTGCCGTCGTTCTTGCCTCGACATGGTACATTCCCGAATCCCAACCCCACACTCTGTCGACATTGAATCCAGCTGCCGCAACCTCCGCGTCCCAAAATGGGGGTTTTCGAAGTCAGGGGGTACCTAATTACGGTCCGTATTGTAATGGGGTCTGGTTTCGCCTAAACCCTAAACCCTAAACCCTAAACCCTAAACCCTAAACCCTAAACCCTAAACCCTAAACCCTAAACCCTAAACCCTAAACCCTAAACCCTAAACCCTAGACCCTAGACCCTAGACCCTAGACCCTAAACCCTAAACCCTAAACCCTAAACCCTAAACCCTAAACCATTCCGACCTTGCACCCCGCATTGCCGTGGCTAGTCGGGTGGCAAAAAAACCCTAAACCCAAAACCCAAAACCCAAAACCCTAAACCCTAAACCCTAAACCTAAACCCTAAACCCTAAACCCTAAACCCTAAACCTACTATTCGGGGGTCTGTTCTCTGGGTCCCCGATTTTCGTAAACCCCCCCCCAACTTGCCACGCAGCTTGTCCCAAGCAATTGGGCTCCGAGACAGCCGCAGCAGAGGAGGGCACGCCAAACCTTGAATGTTGAACCAAACCTTAGGGTTTAGGGCTTTTGGGTTAGGGTTAAGGGTTTAGGGTGAAAACCTCAGTCCAGTGGCAAAAGGGTGAAAACCTTGAGATGGTTGCTCCAATTATCAGATGCAAGTCACCGCGATTTGCTGACCATTCCCGGCCGACTCAAGCCCGGATGCAAAAGGGTTCCTTAGGCTGTAGTTGGAGAGCCTGAAAACGAGTGGGATGGATTCAGAGGAAGGATGGGAGGGCTCTTGGGGAGGGCTCTTGGTCTTCGTGGTTGGGCGATGCACCCAGGCCCAAAAGCAAAACGGGCAAAGCCGTCCTCGGTTCCTAGCCTCCGACCCCCCTCCCAACCCCGAAGAATCCGAGGAGCGAGGCGTCGTTCCGGATCAGCAAGCCTCGACAGGTTCCAGTGCCGGCGATGTTCCCATTGTTCAGGGGAGCTTTCGGAGTGTTTACCACTGAGCAGTTGGAGCTGGACAAGTAAGAGTCCTGTACTGTCATAAGTGTACAAGAATAATAATGTAAGAATAATAGGAATATATTAACATAAACCTGGATTGTAAGATTATGCTGAAAAATACTATGATCTATGAACATAGCAAGATCGCAGTCGTTAAATAGTCTAAAAATGCAACAATCCAGTACTCTAATAGTCTAAGAGACATATATAGCCTAACAACCAAACCAAATATACGCACAATATGGTGATATGATACTTATGATAATATGACAATATGACAATATGATGATATGATAACACATTGATATATCAAACCATATTCGCAACATAGTACATATATTAATCTTGGAATTTACTAATATATGAAGATAGTAAGATAATAAGATGACATTTTCACATCAAAATGGCAATAAACTAGTATGCTCATATAATGCAACAATATAAGAATGTCAGAATACAGGAATATAAGAATTTAAGAACACGAGACGATAAGAATAAAAGAACTGAAGAATACAAGAACACGAGAGTTAATAAAATTCAAGACATATGTAGCAGTTTTAACATGCCATAGAAATATGATATCAACATATCGTACTAGCACAGTATCAGAATATGAACATGCGTAGTTTTTGAGTCTAGATGCAATGACGCAATACACAAAGAATACAAGTTCGTAGCTTTAGCTGTCGCGGCCCCTTCTGAAAGGCTTTCGCGGTCCTCAACAGCCGGAGCCTTGCGAGACAGTGCCGACTGTGGGTGTTGAGTTTGAGGGTTCAGGGCGGCCGTCTGGAGCAGATGTCGTCCGGGAGTGCCCGGCGCTTCCTGGAAAGGTTGTGGACTGTGGGCGCAAAAGAGATATAGAGGCCGACTAAGTTGCACGTGGTACAGCACAGATTACTTGCGTCCATATGTCTCTTCGCGCCATGACTTCCCTGAAGATATGCAAGTGCCAAAATACAGGGGCAGCTCGAAGTGTTTCGAAGGCATCAACGAGAGATGGCTCGTTTCAGCTGCAAGGGCAGTGTATGACCGCGTAGTAACCACCTATACTTGGAGGTTCCCCGTACTTATTCACCAATTATACCCACTTATAAACGCCTTAAGTGCCCTGACATGGTTGTAATTGGGTTAGAAGTACAGTTAGTATTGGGTTTGTAAGTACCCTGAACCTCCAAGCACTGGGTTCTGTCCCAGGCATCGAGGGGCCTCCCAAAAACGACGACCTCCTGGCCTTCCAAGTTATGCCCTGGGCCTAGGGACTCCTGCCCTACTTGCTGTTGGCTAGTAGGGAATGAGGGAATAAGGGCCCCCTTTTTACCCTTTAAGGGGTCATATATATATATATATATATATATTTTTTTTTTTTTTTAGGGTACCTCATTCCCCCATTCCCTACTGACCAACAGGAAGCCTAAGGGAGCTTGTGGTTGCTGTCTCGCGGCGTCTTGGGACCTGGGTGCATCATGGAAAGGCTTCCTGGCTCGAGCTCTGTAGGCTCAGAGGCACAGAAATCCGATAATGAATGTGGTGCATCGCTGCACCTTCTCCATGATTTGGTGGGTTCCGCTCCTGCTTGCGCATGTGAAGCCGATCCAGGGCTTGTCGAACCTGGCCCAGGTTCGACAGAACACCAGCCTGGCGGGCCTCACGGGCCTGACGGGCAACCTTCAGGTGGATGCCTTGAATCTGGTCTCCAGCCAGTTCACGCAGGGCAAAATCCTCGATAACCAGCAGCAGAAGCCGACGAAGACCGGCACATGGTACGGGACACTTCCAGACAACTTCAACGTCATAATTCGCTCTTTCTCTGTGGTGGCAGTTGCGGAGCTTTTTGACAAAACTTGGTTTGTGGCGCTAATTTGTGCGATGAACTATGGCAGGAGCCGGGCTTTCATTGGCGCCTATGTGGCACTAGTCGTTCATGTGCTGCTGGCAGCGGCGCTTGGCGTTGCAATTGCTCAGCTTTTCTCAATAACAGTCCTCTGCTTCACCACGGCTACCGTCTTCTTCCTTCTGGCTCTCGCTTACTTCGTCGAGTTTCTTCGAGCAGGTCAAGACGAAGATGTCATCCAGGGGCGAACAGATGAAGCACAAGAGGCGTTGCAAGGCGCGGATGAGAAGAAAGAGCAGGCTTGGAAGGACATCATCCTCCGGGTCTTTGTGGCCGTCTTCGTGGCTGAATGGGGAGACAGAACACAAGTGGCCATGGTGACGCTCCATTCCTCGGCACCCTGGGTTCCCGTGTGCATTGGGTCGATGATCGCCTTCCTTGTCCTCACCCTCAGTGCTGTTCTTGCGGCTTCATTGCTGGAGGGTACGAAGCTGAGTGAAAAGCTGGTGCTAGGGCTGAGTGCCTGTAGCTTCCTTTTGTTTGCCGCCTTAGCCGTTCGAGATGGCATATCGGCGAGCAGACCATAATTAGTGGAGCTGATCATTGAAGAGACTTTTGTGTGCGTTGACGGAGTGAAAAGGTCAGTCCCCTCACGTAAGAGTTCACAGCTACGGCTCTGCACGCTGCGCTTTGGTCGCCTGGTGCCCACTTTTTGGACTCCGAATATATATATATATATATATATGCCATATATATTGTACATTTTATGTCTGGGAGGACAACACATGTGTACATTGTTGCTCGGTGCTTGTGGGGCTCCTGAGCCGAGGTCTGTGCAGGCTGGACGTGGGGCTCGAGCTGTGCCCAGGGAGGTTTTGGATGCCCCCCAAGCCCTACTTGGAGGTTCATGGGGTAGTTCTAAGAGGGTTTTAAGTATGGTAATTCTACTTATAACCTTATTCAGGGTACTTATAACCCTCCTTATAACGACCTATGAACCTCCCAGTCGGCCCTAGACCTCAGCCGTGGTTTAGTTTAGGGCCGTTTTGGGGTCAGGTTTTGGGGAGCTCGGGCTTGGGGCTTCAGAGGCCTCACACCTTACACAAGGTACGGCGAAGAACGCAGTAGATTCCTAATGGGCTAAGCAGGTCCTGATGATTCGGGAGGGCTGACATCTCTTGCCTCCATACGGAAAGCCTTGAGATGCTAGAGGGAGCCTAGAGCCTAGAGCTTAAAGCCTAGAGCCTAGAGCCTAGAGCCTAGAGCCTAGAGCCTAGAGCCTAGAGCCTAGAGCCTAGAGCCTAGAGCCTAGAGCCTAGAGCCTAGAGCCTAGAGCCAACACCCCACACCTCTGCGAAGATCTTCTGCGCGGTTGGCGATGTGCAGAAGGCACGCGCCAAGGATGCTCCGTACATGGCCCAACGGTCCTGGAGTTGATGTTGCACGCTGCCGCAGCTGCCGGTTTGATTCAGCTTCGAGCCAGCCTGGGATGTAGAAGAGGCTGAATATGCAGGACTCGGGGTGGTACTGGCAGAGAGGTTTCAGAAAGCAAAGTTGAAGGCATTTAGGCCAGTCGGTAGGGCTCCAGCTTGTAGTGGAAGAGTTCGAAGGGCATGTTTTCCCGAACCTCATGGCCGCGGCAAGGTGCAATAAGTTGTGCGGAGTTCGAAGTTCCATTTCGTGTCGCTGACATGGCATTCCTCCGCCGGCATCTGCCAAGTCTTGCGCGTGCCGCGCGCGGTGCCGCTGATGGTGGGGGAGGCCAAAATCTGGTCTCGTGGGGATGTTCCGACATCCTGTTGTTGTTGCTGGCGAAATGGGCAGTCTTAGGACGGTTGCTTGCATACAGGTGCATAGTGCTCGCTTTCGGCTTATATACATCATCATGAACTGCCCCGTCCCTCAACGCGCAGGGGTTTTCGGGTCCTGAACCCGAACCCTTGCCCAGACCAAAGCTTTGAACCTGTGTGAACGCCCCAAGCCGAAGCCTGGCAAACGCAAAAGGCTGGTTAACCTGCCGCACCTCATATTGCTTAGTTACAGGTCGGCTTCAAAGTATGGTAGTTATACTTACAACGGGCACTTGTAACCCTACTTCTAACTACCCATGAACCTCATATTATGAGGGCTTATTAAGCCCTGTGCGCCCTCCAAACATCCCATATGCCGCAAGCCTTTTTTTCCTCGCCAGAGGGCAGAAGGTGTTTTACGTATCATGTACATACATGCATAAGAATAATATAGCTATAACAGGTATAATCACGCATCAAGAATACACAACGAATATACAAACAATATTAACGATACATAGGTAATGTATCAGTAATGTATAAATAGTATATAACAATCTAATATTCTACTATGTACTGTAATTTGTAAACAGAAAAATGCATAAAATGAATGCAAGTGCTATAAATCTATAATCTATTATTCTACTATGTACTGTAATTTGTAAACAGAAAAATGAATAAAATAAATGCAAGTGCTATAAATCTACAAGAGCCTCGGGATATCCCTGCAGGCGGGCCGCGCATCCTCCGGTCGGAGGTGTCCGACATCACTTTCCACTTTGCGGCCGCCGGGCATTGGGAAAACGAAGGGTTTAGGGTTTAGGGTTTCGGGTTTAGGGTTTAGGGTTCAGGGTAAAATGGCTACGGCTCAAGTTTGGCTACGAGGCCCTAACGGGCGTGCAAGAGAGTTCAAGTCTTGTCCTGATCTATAGCGCGCTGTTGCCATGGTTCAGGCGAAATTATGTGCATGCATTGCTTATTGCATCCGGTTGGCTAATCGAAGTGGGAACGACTCGGCGGCACAATGCCTTTGGAAAGTGTTACATGATTTGCGGCCCGCAAATGAATGCAGACCTCATGCTGTGAAGATCAGTTTGTTCGATGCGCTCAGCTTTGGGAGAACTGTGGATGCAGAAAATCAGGCCGTGGATGTTGCAACGCAAACATTGGACAGGACCTACTCCGAGGCGGAATGTAAGCATTGGGCGGAGACGCTGGTCGCGCATGCTATGACAGAGTTCAAGGCTGCTACCGGAGATTTAGTGAAGCGTATTCAGGCCCTCCAGGACGAGAATTTGAAGATGCTAAACTTGAACGGTCGGGTTGACATGCTGGACGAGGCACTTAGTGTGACATGCCGGAAGCAGGTCCCGTGGACACGCTTGCAACATCCAATGGAGGTCTCTCGATCCTCACATCATCCATCTTCTTGCGAGCCTCCTTGGCCGGCTGCATCGGACAGGTCTACTGAAGCTGCCCGCGCTCCCGCTGTGGTTCCTGAAAAAACCCTGCAAGAGATGAAGGACGCAGAACACTGCAGGAAGAGAGCTCTGAAGGCAGAACGACGACGGCAGCGACAAGCTACTGCGGTGCAGATGGACTCTTCGATTTAGTCGTATGATGTGTGCAGCTCGAAAATTTGACAAGATCCAGCTATGCCCTCAGCAGTGGAAAGCATGGTGCTTTAGATCCGTGCATGTCCCCTGAGTGCTTTGTCCTGGCGTGACGATGCAAACCGTTGCAAGAGGATTGAGGCAACAGCGCCCCTTTTTCTACCAGTATACTAAGTCTCGCCTGTGAAGGCATCCCCTGCTTGTATAGGGTCGCAGGAAGGCTCTGCTATCAGGTTGCCGGCAGTTTCCCAGTCCGTGCTCAAAAAGGGTTTAGGTTTAGGGTTGCCAGGAAGGCGAGGAAGGCAGTGGTGAGTGCCATGTGACGCAGTAATAGCAGGAAATAGGAGAACTACGATTAGTGGTACTCGCAGTAAGGGTTGGAGCTAGGGGTGGTGGAGATCAGGGATTAGGGGGTGTGGGCAGGTCGAACGTTCGCTTGTAGCTTCCTTTCCTGCTTGCTTTGTAGCTTTCCAGACCCGTTTGTGGCTTTTCGTATGCCTGCCCATTTCATAGCGGGCAAGATCAAAGTCGTCGAGACAAGTTGCGGGTTAATTAGGGACTGATTGGGTTACTCGGCTTTGTCATGCCTAGGGACTGTTGTGGAAGTGCCGTCATCCGAACCCTACATGTAGAAAGCCCGGCGGGTGGCAGAAGAGGACTGTGAGGTTTTGGGGTTGAAACGCAAGAGTTTTGTGCGAGTTTCGACACACAAAGAAGGAAAAGACGCCTAGGGTAGCCACAAGTGAGCACGGAAAGAAGCCACAAGTGAGCACTGCGCCGTTTTGAGCTCCAGCCCTGCGGGCCGATGTTGGTAAGAACCAAAAACCCTAAACCCCAAACCCGAAAGAGCGCGTGCTAAGCCCTAAGCCCTAGTCCCTAAGCCCGAAGCCCGAAGCCCTAAGCCCTAAGCCCTAAGCCCGAAGCCCGAAGCCCTAAGCCCTAAGCCCTAAGCCCTAAGCCTTAAACCCTAAACCCTGGCCGAGACTCGCTCTTCGGAGATGGTGCTGCAGAAACCCTGGCCCCAAACCCCTAAACCCTGGCCCCAAACCCTAAATCCTAAACCCTAAACCCTAAACCCTGGCCCTAAACCCTGGCCCTAAACCCTAAACCCTAAACCCTAAACCCTAAACCCTAAACCCTAAACCCTAAACCCTAAACTCTAAACCCTAAACCCTAAACCCTAAACCCTAAACCCCCCCTAGACACTCGGGGCTCCGAAAATGGGCAGATCAACGATCCCGCGACACCCTGCCATGCGAAGAGTTGACGCAGCCACAGTTTACGGTCTCTTTTGAGGCACAGAGTTTCGGGTTTAGGGTTATACCATGCCAGGTGCAGAGTTCAGGGCATGGGGGAATGGCCGACCCTCGCCGCCTGAAGGTTGAAGAGTACCTCATGAATGCCGTGAAGCTGACCGCGCCACTGATGTCACCTGGAGGAAATTCTGTGCAAGTACCTTTGTAAATCCAAACCACAGCATCAACCATGGAGCCCAGACACATTCCCTGCAAGACTTTGGGAGTATTTACGCAGTACATCGTCGTACCTTTAGTTCTTGTTTGGGTCAACGGCTGCGGGTTTGCCCCACCGCGCCCCAACTCTCTCAGAACGTCGAAGCCTTGAAGAAAACAACCCTGAACCCTCGGCCCTTGCCCTTTCATCCAGGTATCTGTGGAGACCACAACCCGTGGTTACCATCGGACGGCATCAGACCCCTGACGTCCATTGCGGGTGCTCGTCTCTTCTCTTCGATGGATATATGAAACCCGAAGCCCTGTTTTGTTATCCGAGCTTTAGTTTGTTTTGGGAGTTCTGTGGAGTCGTCCTGAACACTGCGCACCCTGAAAGGGCCCTACCCTGAAATCGTACCCCTAACCCCGCATGCAGAAAGGCCGGGCTGAACTTGGCTGCTTGCACGATGTTGACCAGAGTGGCGGCAAGACGCCGTGGTTGATGAATTCGCCATGGGGATAGCTACGTCTTGCCAACTCTTGTCAGTAGCAGGGTGAGGTCCACTGGAGCCATGATAGAAATGCTGGTGTGGCACTGTGTCGTCATGTCTGCACGGTGGCCTCACACAAGCCCTAACCTAACCTCAGCCAATCAACAATCCACAATCTTCCCCTTCCTCTAGTATGCTGGACAGTGTGGACACTTTGCATCCCAGCGGTGTGGCCGCGAGTCTGCTAGGCAGGTGGCAAAAGACCCTACAAACCATGAAGTCCAAATTCCAGCTGGGCTCAGGAACCCTTGGAAAGAGTGCGTTCTCTCACAGTTGGATGAGGACCGCTTGAGATTCTTTAGATTCCCTAGGTGCATGACATGCCCCAATACGACCCTCCCCTATTGCGGGTTTAAAAGGGGTACTTGATTGCCTCACGAATACCCCTATTAAGAACCAGTATCCCACACCCTACGCCCTGGATGATTACGGGGAATGGGGAACGTAACTCCCTAATTCCCGCGAGCAACCCTGAACCCAAGACCCAAAACCCAAACCCTAAACCCAAAACCCAAAACCCTAAACCCTAGACCCTAAACCCTAAACCCCAAAGGGCAAAACCCCAAAAAGTCTTGGAGGACGGAGTAGACCTGGTCCGCCGGCGGTCCGGTGGGGGAGCCATCTTTCAGGAGCCTTCGGTGAGAGACTGGCGAAGTCAAGTGGCCTACAGAATTCTTCTTCTTCTGATTTCTGAAGGTCCTTCTGTACTACTACTACTACTACTACTACTACTACTACTACTACTACTACTACTACTACTACTACTACTACTACTACTACTACTACTACTACTACTACTACTACTACTACAACTACATACTACTACATACTACTACTGCTACTACTACTACTACTACTACTACTACTACTACTACTACTACTACTACTACTACTACTACTACTACTACTACTACAATTACTACTATGACGAATGATTACTACTATTATTACTTTTACTATCATTGTTCTACATACAAGTATGTCTCCATTTCATTATTGCTTTTGAATACTTGTGTGAATTTTCAGGACAGCTAGCGTGGCTGGCGGGACGGGACCAAACCCGGGTGGGGGTGCATTTTATTTATCGGTAACGTGGAGGAGGGGCAGGGAGAGTGGAGTGTGGTGGTTGTGGTGGAGTGTGGCGCTCTGTGGTGGTGGTTATGGTGTTGGTGTGTGGTGGAGCGTGGCTTTGTGATGGAGTGTGGAGTCTGGTGGCGCTGGTGGCGCTGGTGGCGGTGGCAGTGGTGGTGTGCGGTGGTGAGGGGTGCCCCGAATCCATATTGGCATCCAGGCTAGCTTTCGTTGTCCTCGGCTGTGCCTGTCAAGCTGGAATTACTATTCCCACCTCTGTTTCGTACCCTCTGTCAAAGCCCTGTAGACCCCACATACCCTACACATCGGGTGCAGTTCATGTGGGCGATGGATTGAACTTTAAGTTTTCAGCAGCTCTTTTGGGTTAAGCTGCAGCATCCTACCAGCACTGTGATGCCCCAGTTCCTTATCCCAAGAACAAGAAGAAGACCCGTGCCCAAGTCGAGTCGAATACTTGTGGCTGATGTGGGTACTTTCTTGAACGGGATTCCAACTCTGGTGCAGGATCCTGGCTGCTCAGTTTTCACTTTCTTGTTCCCATCCGCAGAGTTCGACATCGACCGCACCCTGGAGCAATTAGGGTCTGCAAAATCCCACGCCCCTCAGGATTCTTAAGCCCTGCAGCTGGCGTAGTAGTTCACTATCTTTCGGAAGAGGCCGCCTGCCGCCTGGCATGTGACGGTGCCCGCTACACGCTACCCACTACCCATACACCCTAAACCCTAAACCCTAAACCCTAAACCCTAAACCCTAAACCCTAAACCCTCAACCCCTGAGCACCCTGAGCTCTCTGAGTCCCAGGCAACCTCGAAACGGTCCTTGGTGCACTCGGCCGCCTGGGCGTCCAGGCTGCCACCTGGCGACAGCTCTGGCAAGAGTTGTAACAAGGTTTCGGTGCCACCCATCAAACAGAACAGAACGCAGCACCCTAAACCCTAAACCAAAAAAGCCTTCAACCCCAAGCCCATGATCAGCAGCCGAGGAGAAGAAGGGCCGTAATGATCTCACCTTCGAGGACAAGAAGATCTCCGGCAGCGCTTTCAAGCACCGCTCCCTGAAAATTGGTCCCAGATGTGGATGATGTTTGGGCTTTTCTGCATCTTAGATCGCCCAGAAGCTCTCCGCACCCTAACCTCAAGACCACCAAGTAGTGCAGGAACGACTTAAAGACAATGCTCGCAAAGCTTGCGCGCGTGCCAGCAACAGCTGGAGTCGAGCAATCCCTGCCTCATCTCGGACCGGGAATGCTGAACTCTTTGTCTGTTGGAAGAAGTGCGAAAGGCCGGCCGCTTCCCCACAAAGGACCCTCCAACAGTGGTGCTACTGCGGCGGGTTGTGGTCACCAAAAGCCTAAGCCCTCAAATGACGGTCGGTGATGCGTGGATTAGATGAAGATCTTGGATCACTCAGCGGTCCTTTTTGCCACGATCCTTCGAATGACTTCTTGCTATGTAATGCAGTCTGCACAGTTCACTTCGCCCCTCGTCTGGGCTGATCTAAATCGTAGGCTGTTCTTTTCAGCACCGTATCAGCCCTAAGGAATACATTACAGACCCCATAAGGGCCCCCCACCCTAAACCCTGAACCCTGCCTTGCCGGCCTTGTGCGAGCGTGAGAGTCGAAACCCTGAACCCTAAACCCTAAACCCTGAACCCTAAACCCTAAACCCTAAACCCTGAACCCTAAACCCTAAACCCTAAACCCTAAACCCTAAATCCCAGAGCCTCCAGGCATGCCCCTGATCGCGGCGTGTCCCTGCACCACGGCACAGTTCTGGTCGACACGGACCTCACGGCTCTCCAGAGACTCTGCCTGAGATAAACCCTAAACCCTAAACCCTAAACCCTAAACCCTAAACCCTAAACCCTAAACCCTAAACCCTAAACGCTCAAGTTTTAGGATTTCCGGAAGAGGGCGCGGCTTGTTGCCTTTTGAGCTTCTGAAAGTACTGCCCCTTCCTCAAAGCCGGCTTCTGGTGCGGACGGCATGTTCGACTGTCGGGATTTCTTTTGAGCAGCTGCAGGTACCTGTTGACCCCGATGTTTTTTGGTGCTTTACCAAGTCGCGACCCTTTCCCAGTCCGACCGTTGACATGGTCCGCAACAGAGCCTGGGGTCGGGAAGAGGAAAGGTAGGTCCGGGTTGCGGGTATGAGGCCCTCATTCTCCTTCTCTGCGTTTGAGTACTTGGAAAAAGACTAGCCCAAGGAAGGCTATGCGTGCTGCAGGCTTCGAAGGTGCAAATCAGGCGGATGCATTGTGAGTTGGCAACCGAGGAGATACCTCACGCCCGACAAGCGGAAGCTTCAAGCCAAAGGCGGCCCACTGCCTTGTAGCGCAACAAGCCCACTGGCAGGGTCCAGAAAAAGAAGTCTCACCCCGCTATCGATTGAGCAGCTGTCTTGTAGGCCAGCGTTGCTTGTGCACCTTTGTGGACTGTGTTGTCTTCGCAAAGTTCCCTAACCCACCGGACGTGCACCAGGCATCGCCAGTGTTGGAGCTCGTGTCATGAACCTCCGCGAAAGGTTCCCCGAGGCATCCGAGATCGGCCTTTTGCAGTTTGGATCCGGGGTTCACAGAACATCGCTTACAGGGGGTTGCTTTGGAGGCTGGGATGGTCTGTGTCTAGGTGTCAAGCGACTTCCGCACTCTTGGAGGTGAGCCATGACAGCCTGTGCGATGCCCTCGTTGCGGAGTTCCGCGAGCGTGACCCGGCTTGTGAGACCCGGTGAGCTGAAGCGCTAGAGATGGATAGGAACAAATGCCTTGGCTGCAAGAAGAGTGCTTCTAGGATACCGCCCAAAAGATCACACTTCTTGTCAACAACTTTCTGGAGTTTCAGTCAATCCAGCTCAACGCACCTTCTTGATGAGTTTGCATTCCAGTCAAAGCGAATTTTGGTGCGTTTCTTCCTTTCCAGATCTTGGACATTGCAGGCTTCAGTGGTGGCTGCCCTGACCTCCTTTCATCCTTAATGTTGCACCCGCAACCTCTTGAAGCGGTCCAGGGCGGCATTTAAATTTTAATAGGGATGAGTATCATATAAACTCAAGAGAGGTTAGATAAGAAGAGGGCCTTTAACCAAGGCCCCGGGGCCGGCTGGCTCCGGCCCCCCCCCCCCTTCCTCCCCCCTTGCCGAGACAGTTTTTCTCCTATGGCTTTTGAAAAAGGGACTGCTCGGTTTCGGCTCAGTTGGGTTTACGGTCATTAAGTTTCAAGGGCCCAGCCTTTAAGTCAAGAGGCCAGGGCATCGGTTTCAAGTGAGTTTCAAAGCAAGACCCTAAATCACGAAACGCATGTCCGATTTTGGGAATAAAACATCCTGAGCCCAATACCTTAAACCCTACCTGTAAGCCGAGGTGAGGGCGCCGAGGATGCAGAAATAGAGGACCTAAGCCACCCTAAACCCTAAACCCTCAACCCTAAATCCCAAACCGTCAACCCTCAACCCTCAACCGTCAACCGTCAACCGTCAACTCTCAACCCTCAACCCTCAACCCTCAACCCTAAACACTCCCAAAAAATCCCTAAAAGCCCTAAACTCTAAACCCCTAGAACCCAAACCGGCCTAGCTGGTCGACTCGACAGTTTACGAGGGCCGTGGTCTACTCGAGGTCCAGCCGCGATCTTAAACTCTCAGAGGGGTTTAGGTTTGGGGTTTAGGGTTGAGGGTTTAGGGCTTAGGCTTTAGGGTGATACTAGTCAAGCAGTGCGGCATGGATTCAGGTTTCTTGTTGATTGTCATTGTTCTTGTTTTGTCAGTTGCTTGGCTTTGTTTGCTTCTTGCATGTTGGATCATGAAGTGTTACGATGCTTCCGGGCGGCAGTTGAGGACGAGAACCCGAACGATTAGGGTCAAATTCGCGCCCATGAGCAGAACGCTGGCCGCTTCAAAGTTGACTGTGGTGTACGGCCGCACTAGTCCGTTGTGTTAAACTAGGCGAGGACAGAAGCAAGCCTGATTCAAAAAAGGGGTTTGGGTTTAGGGTGGTCGCTTGTCAGTCCGGTAGCGAAAGGGGTGGTCACTTGAGTCACCTGAGTGCTTTCCCGAATGCGTGGCAGGAGGATGTTTGTAGGTTCTCAGGCAGGCGAGGCAGGGCGAGACAGCGCTGGCAGTCGTCCAGTCCGGCTTCAAAAAGGCCCTCAACCCTAAAGCCTCAAACCTTAGACCTTGGGATGTTCCCCCCTTATACTGACAGTCCTTCATAGGGATTCCAGTATAAAGCTTCCAATGAAGGACAGTTGGTATACGGCGGAACATCCCAGCTTGGAATCTGCATCATCACGTGAGCCGGCAGGAGATCGATGAGAGCTCGCCTTTGGCAAAAGACTCGGTCTTTCGCCACGTGCGGGCGGAGCTCCAGAACAAGGATGCCCGCGAGATTTTGGAGGGTTTGCCCCGCGAGGGCGGGGCAATGTCCCAGGGTCCTACAATAAGGGTTGTAAGTGCTCTGGGGTTTTTGAGGGCCCCCTTTGCTTTTGGGACAAGAACTTTGCAATGCTAGTTGGTTGATGTTGACTTGAGGCTTCCTTGCCCTTTGCATCTAGACAATGTGTAGCATAGCTGCTTGTCGCAAACGGTCTGTGGGGCTTCAGGTCTTCAGCCCCAAAAGGGCGCAGTTTTAGAAGGCTTTTTTGGCCTTCGGCTTTTTGGGGGGGACGAAGCTCTTCAAAATCTCTAGGGCTTGAGGGTATCGGGTCTGCCTTTAACTTTGGAGCTCCAAGGATCGTTTCTGGACTTCGTTTGCAATCCCCCATGGTTTTGCATCAACAAAGTCGACCCATGACTCTCTCAAGAGCTCATGGAAACCACAAGAGGTCTGCATATGTGTGGGGTCCCATTCCCTAAGTCATAGGAGTGGCGCCTGGGAAAGACGCCGGAGTTCTCGCACCAGCACCTCGGTTGCCCCACGTACTGCGATTCACATGCAGACTGCCAGGGCTCTGGGAACCAACCCTCACAGTAGCTTAGGGTTTTGGGTTTCGGGTTTCGGGTTTCTGGTTTAGCTCTGTAGCACGAGCCCTGGCACCCGATTTCTGTGCTGATCAAGGTTTGAGACTCGTATTGACGGAGTCGGGGTGTTCGACGTGCACCTTAAGGCACGACGAAGGTTCAGGGGGCGCTGCCTGGCCTTCCATGGTAGGGTTTCCGAACATAGGGGTGCCCTGTTCTTGGAAGGTCTTTTCAAGGGGTTGTATTGTATTTGGGGTGTAAAAGGGGTAACATATGCCAGTCTGAGTAGCAACACATGCGCGCAGCGGCAGGGATGGATCTTGAATGATTTCCACAAGTGTTGGTCACACGATCCATGCAGCCATGAGCGTCACGATCAACGACACGGACAAGAAGATCTTGCAACTGTTGCGGAAACATCCGCAGCATGCAGAGTTTCAGGCTGCTTTGAAAGAGGAATTTCCTGATTATCCTCGTGCCCGTTTGTGCCGATTGAGGAAACAGGTGGGCCATAGCGCTGAGTTAGGGCGTCCCACAGCCAATCAGCAAGACAGAAACGCTGCCATAGTCTCAGCTTTACGACGAGGACAAAAAATGATCGACATTGCAAACGAATTAGACCTCAGCGAGGGCATGATCAGTCGAATTGCGCGCTCGAATTTCGGTGACCTCCGGGAGGATTCGTTTAAGTACTCTGTTGCGATCATGTCTGTCCGACCAGATGTTCTGGCAAAGAAGACATGGCCTTTAGTGCAGCGTTATGGTCTGCAAAGGGTCAGCATCTTCACCACGGCCGCAATTGCCCACCGGATGAGGCAACATTTTGGTGAGAATGCAAACGTCGTTGTATGCAACAAGCATGGCATCGTATCAGGGTTGAATTTATTTACGACCACTACAAGATCGATGACAAAGTCGTGATCCTTTACGATGATGTCAAAAGAATCAGCGAGATCATCGACGGTGCTTGGCAAGAATTGGACAGCTTCGACGGAGTGTGCCGCGAGGCGTTTACTTGCATGACCAGAAGCAGTTTACACATTGCTGGTTTGCGTCCGTCCAAGTTCAAGTCCCATGAAGTATGCACCGAGCCCTCGCTGTTTTCTTTACATCTTGTGTACGACCCGGTTCACTTTATCATAAACAAAAGACGGTACCGAAGCCCTCAGTTCATGCTCAAAACCGATTACGAGAATTCCGTGATCAACTTCAAAGCCGACGGGGGAGTGGTCAGGCTGAACAAGTACACAATGGACGTTGTGTATAACCACCGCAATGATGTGGGCAACAAAGCTGTTGCCGAGAAGCTGGCCCGTAAGTACAAAGACTATCTTTACGCCAGCGGCACCGATCTTCGGGTCAGGGCCAGACATCTCTTGGACCGCCCAAGCAAGCGGCCGCGCTTGTCTTGAACATAACCACCACCTCGAAATAGTCCGCCTTGAATTCGTTTTGGACTTTTGTGTTGGGGGTTGACACATCAAGTCGTAGAGCTTGGGAAAGGATTCATCGATGGCGGCCGCGCCCTGGCCCTGTCGATTCGAGTGCAAAAGGCTCCGTTTAGCCGGATGTTCGTGTGCTGTTAGCGATTGTGCTGCGTTCGAGCGGAACAGCATGCGCAGCTCATGGCCCATGCTCGAGCTCCGTCTTCCCGTCCAAACGTGGCCTTCCCGAGTAATTGGCACGCGTGCTCAATTCAATTTTGGTAATGTCATGGTGTTTTGCCTCGGCGCGGGCCGGCGGCAGCATTCCGAGGCCTGTTCTAGTCATGGCGGGCTTCGTCGTAGGCTCGAGCTCCTTTGGCTGAGCATGTGTGTTCGCCCGCGGCATTTGCCCGCAGCATTTTGCACATGCCTCGTGATGTCCTTCAGGGCTTTGGGTCGAACGAGGCGACAGCGCCCGTATTCCCATTTCCCCAGCACCTTGAGGTGCGTAGAGCCTAGACACGCCGCCATCCAGTCCTCCTTGGCACCGTGCGTTGAGAAGAAGAGATCTAGAGCCAGATGTCAACTAAGGAAGGGCACATCCACCTGGTCCTCCGTTGGGGCTATTTTTTCCGCCCGGGCCGTTCTGGGCAACAGGAATAGCCCTGGCTGATTTCCCCGCACTCCAACAAAAAACGCTTAGCGCACTCATCCCCAACACAGAAAAACACAATTTAGCCATCGACTAATCGGAATAGGTGTGTCAATGCCGTATAGAGGACGACAACAGCCAAGACCGTACAACTGTGTAGGCGTTGGGCTTGGACTATAGCTGCGACAAAGAAGCTCACTCCAACGAATCCTTTTCAAGCCCACCCCATCCCCCAAACACACCACTTGAATCACAGAACGAAGCTGGAACCATCCAATCCCTGGACCTGCCAACGAACGACCCGTATACCCTCCTTTCCCATGGCCGTGTTGCTGCGTCACTGGCTTGTGCAGTGGTGAGCTGGCTGCTGGAGCGACACTGGGCATGTCCCGTATCAATGTGCAAATTCTTGGCTCCCACTGTGCAGTATCTTTGAAAAGGGGGTCTGCATGTCTTTTTTTTTGCGTTTCTCTTTGCGAGGCCGGTTGGTTGCCTAAACTGGCCAGTGGCGCAGCTGGCCACAACCCAAAGCCGACTCATACACTACACCCCAATGTGGCTCAAGCTCGAGAATGTCGCACAACCTTTCATTCCTGATCCATGCCCTCGTGGTTTCCAGATCCTAAACCAACAAGGTCCTAAGACCCCGAAGCACCTTAAGCTTGCCTATTTGTGTGAAGCCTTTGCGGCTGTGTGGGTCAGCAGACTGCGCAAAGGCAAGACGCATCTGATTATCTTTCAGGAGCTCAAGGAAAACAATCCCCAGCCGACCTGGGTGCACTCACATGCAATTTGTCTGCGAATATGCTCCCGGTTGTTCATGGCCGCAGCAGAACTGCGGGTTGCGAAGCAACCCCGCTCCCGACCCGGACCGGAACCCTCACAGGTCTAGCTTTTAGGGTTTAGGGGTTTAGGGTTTAGGGAATGTAGTTGCATGTTTGCCGGCAGCCTCCAAAGTCCGTTGCTCAAAAAAGGGAATGTGGCTCCGCCCATGCGGGAAGGAAAAGGCTCCCCAGGTAAACAGGAGCAAGTAGCTGCTTTGCCCGAGGCTACCTGCCAAACAGACGATTTTTTTGCTTGACCGATGGGAAGATGTGAATGCAAATCTGTGAAGTCCGAAGGCTTGATAGCCAATGTGGCTGGATCCGAGAATCCGAGGAGTTGGATTTTGGGGTTCAGGGTGAGGCAAAGCCCTTTGAAAACCGGAAGCCCTCAGAAGCCTGCGATTCTTACATCCTCGACGCCAAGCCCCAAGTTCGAAGAAACCCATAAGAAACCCCCCTAAAGCCTAAACCCTAAACCCCCTAAACCCCCTAAACCCCCCAAACCCCCTAAACCCCCTAAACCCCCTAAACCCCCTAAACCCCCTAAACCCCCTAAACCCCCTAAACCCCCTAAACCCCCTAAACCCCCTAAACCCCCTAAACCCCCTAAACCCCCTAAACCCCCTAAACCCCCTAAACCCCTAAACCCCCTAAACCCCCTAAACCCCCTAAACCCCTAAACCCCCTAAACCCCCCCTAAACCCCCCCCTAAACCCCCTAAACCCCCTAAACCCCCTAAACCCCCTAAACCCCCAAAACCCAAAATCCAGCATGCCTGTTCGATGCAGGTTGTGCAGGGCCGAATCGAGGAGGCAAGGGAGGGGTGCCGGGGGAATGGGGCCCGGGGAGTTAAAAAAAAGGGATTTCGAAGTGTTTTCGGTGTTCTGGGCGTTTATGTGGGGTGCGGCGAACCCATGGTAGCAAGCAAGAGGGTTGCTGGAGCGCGCGCCTGCGCACCCCTGTTTTTTTTTTGCTGTTTTCATGTTTGAGGCTCAGCCGAAGTTTGAACGCCCAGATGCCAAGGCTTTGGCTTCCTTCGCAACTCTGCAGGTCACCATCTTCAGTGACGCTCTTTTCCCGGACGTCATCTCGGAGTCCATGGCCGTGTTGAAAGGCCCAGGGAATCAGCGAGACCGAAGACAAAATGTTGGGGCATGTATACGCTGACCCTACACCTTAAGGGAAGTTTCCACCCTAGAGAACCCCGAACTGAGGGGTGGCCACAAGAAAGCCGAACTCCACACCTCGAATCTACAATCCCACGAGGGCCTACTGGAGTTGGCAGGTAGCAGTATACCCTTAGCCCTTGCCCTTTCCTGGATGCATTGAAAGCCCCTACTCCACATTGCTGTTGGGCCTTCATGGGGGCTTTGGCCGATTCAGTTGGGGCCGCGGGTGTAGCTTCCACATACGGAGAACTCAGTCTGAACCTAAGGACACCGTGGGGTGCAGGCTTTAGACGCCCCGACAAGCACCCATGCAGGTGTGGACTATGGAAGAAGCAGCATCTTGCCTCAACAAATTGACCGGACGGTAGTTCGGACAAGCTAATGGGAAGTTCTTGCAGGAGGGGTCATCTCAGAAGAAGTGCTTGCGAGCGCGTCTCCATAGGTTCTCAGTGCAGTCCAGCAGCCCTCCGCCAACTCGCCAACGCTCGAACCCTAACTGCCCCTAACTAAAGCTTCAACCCTCAGCAACAATGCTTGAATCCAGCACGCTCGTGCTGGTTTCACGCTTTACTTTTGAGGCGTCAGTGCGGCACTGGCAATGCTCCGGATGGAGTTCGATGAGCCAGGCCCGGGCCAATTGGAGTCGGGCCTTCCTGGCGGTGCAGGGTTGAGTAGTTAGGCCTGGTTGCAACAAGTGCTATGAGGTCTCACGATCCCTTATCTGAATTCAAAGGGATGAGCCCACACTCCAAGCCCCAGAAAACTCTCGGCCTCAAGCCATATTCCTCCACTGCACTTGTCAGTGTCTTTTGCTGCATTTGCTGCTGCTATTCGGGGCTCCGACTTTAAAGAACACCTCTCCTTTCCACGCTCTTCTGCCAATCCTCGTGAATCATCCATACTTGTGATTGCAACAGTACTTAGGGTAAGAAGGGTCTCTGGCCCCCCTTTCTCAGCCAAGACCTGCTTCTTGAGAGGACCGCTCAAGACCTTGGACTCTCTGGCCCAGCGCCGGGCCCATGTTTCAGCAACGTGTTGGTGACAACGTCCAGCACCCCTTGCCATAAAGTGCGTGCAATTGTTTCAGGGCTTGGAAGGGGTTTCAGTTCGCAGGTGTTCAGCTTTGCGTCTTTGCTTGTCCAGTCATTCTTCCGAGATGCAGCATTAGCCCTTAGCAGCCGATATTTTGCTAGCCCCGGGGCGGTAACATTCCCGGATTCCCGTCCAACGGCTAACGGTCCGCTGGTTCGATGGCATGATATTCTGGCTGCGTTTCCTTTTTGGCTACCCTCTGTGGAATTTAAATGCTCTAGGATTATCAGACTAGCCTCAAGAAGGGTGCATACTTCAGATCCCTCGCCCATCTACTTGTTCGAGCTTGTTGGGTTACAAAGTTATGGGCAGGGGACTAGCTCGCTACCCTAAACCCTAAACCCTAAAACCTAAACCCTAAACCCTAAACCCTAAACCCTAAACCCTAAACCCTAAACCCTAAACCCCAAACCCCAAACCCCAAACCCTAAACCCTAAACCCTACACCCTAAACCCTAAACCCTGTCAAGGTGGATGGTGTCCAGCATCGAGGATTGAGCACGACTGAGCGGCGAGTGGGCAGCTCCTAGATGCCTTCAACGCCACTTCAAACCCTAAACCCATTTGACAACTTCGCCCTAAACCCTAAAACCCTAAAACCCTAAAACCCTAAAACCCTAAAACCCTAAAACCCTAAAACCCTAAAACCCTAAACCCTAAAATCCTAGAACCCTAAACCCTAAACCCTAAACCCTAAACCCTAAACCCTAAACCCTAAACCCTGTGCGAGGAAATTTAGACCCTAAGCCCCAAACAGTCGAGACCCTAAACCCTACACCCTAAACCCTACACCCGAAACCCCGAAACCCAAAACCCTTCTCCCCAAAGCCGCAAGCCCTGAGGGATGAGAACTTCAGGCACCCTGTGCCACTAGCAGGGGGCCCAGCCCCGACCTCCCCAGAATTCTCGACGTCTCGGATGTCCGACACCTTTTTTCTCCGCGCGCGCGAGGCAAAATTGGAGCTAAGGAAGTTCGGACGGGGGGGGGGGATGTGTGGAGTAGATGAGTACAAGGCTCTGTTGTCACCTAGAGTACACTGCGTTCAGGAGTCGTCGTTTGACAGTTTTACACGCGGGGCGGCCTTGTTGAGGAGTCTCGATTTGGACCCCGCTAAGCCTGAGCCTCCACATGGACTCCGCGATACTCTTCGCTTGCAGGCGCTGGCGACATTCAAGAAGGCCATCGCGGGCCAGGCGCCATGCTTTTTGGTGCTGGGTGATGAGATCCTGAAGCCGAAGGCCCCAGGTCCTGAGAGACCCCCCCCCCCCCCCAAAACCCCCCCCCCCCAGAAAGCCTCCTTGAACCCGACTCCCTGAACACAAGCTTCGGAAGCCTTTAGACCCGAAAGCTCCTGAGGGCTTAGGCTTTAGGGTCTTTAGGGAGTTAGGGTTCAGGGTTCAGGGTTGGGGTTTCGGGTTTCGGGTTTCGGGTTTCGGGTTTCGGGTTTCGGGTTTCGGGTTTCGGGTTTAGGGTTTAGGGGTCAGGGTTCAGGGTTCAGGGTTCAGGGTTCAGGGTTTAGGGTTTAGCACAAGGGTTTAGGGTTTAGGGTTCTCCTGAAAACCCTAAACCCCCTTGGAGTCCAGGACTTTCGGGACGCCGTCACCCTCTTGGCCTTGGTTTGCGAGGACCTCCGGGCGGCCTCGGCCTCGAAACATCAAGGGTTTAGGGTTTAGGGTTTAGGGTTTAGGGTTTAGGGTTTAGGGTTTAGGGTTTAGGGTTTAGGGTTTAGGGTTTAGGGGAGCATTTAAATCTTAGCATTGTTCTGCTATCACTGTGGTAATATCCTCATATTTATATTCTGATGTTCTGATAATAGTGTCACGTTACTATGTTATTGCGCTAATTACTGTATGATGGGTTTCGGGTTCTGGCGGCCACAGTTGTGCTGATGGGGGTTCCCTCCGTCCAGTGGGACAAGGGCGGTAGGAAGCAGCTTTTTGCACAAAGAGTTTAGGTTGCTCAAGGGTTTAGCCGGGTGGGTTTCACGGAACTTGGCTGGGAAGGTTTGAGTCTAGCCGGAAGTTCTTACACACCTTCATGACGAGATGTTCCGTTCGACCCATTCAGAAAATTGCAGGTTTTGTGTGCAGCACTGGGCTGGGCGCACACGAGGTGTATCTGTCGACGACAGGGCCATGCAAACCGGTGTCCGTTGTCCTGGAGCGGGGCTTGCTACACCTTGGTGTGGATCGCTGGATGTCAGCAGTGGTGCATGGGCACGAAGCACTGATGTATGTTGTCGCGCAACTGCGGGTATAGCACAGGATTCAGCAACTGGCAGCAACGTGACTGAAAGCAGCGGGGCGACTGAGTCTGGCTGGGCACTGCAAGCCCTGAGGGAAGAGCATACAGTTAGCCGGCTTGCCATGAAGCAGCGCCGTTTCGACTGGGCCGCGTCATCATGAGTTGGGGTGATGCTTAGATGCCGTGACCGAGATGCAGTGCTCGATCTGCAATTGTTTCCAGTTGAAGTCTTGCACTGCTTCAGGTCTGAACAGAGTCTGGGTTCATTTAGGAAGGCTTGGCTGGCACGAATCGACGGCAAGGTAGGTTTCTGGGGGGGCAAATCCGCTAGCATGAAAGCCTCGACCCTAAATACGTCGACACACCTTTCAGACTGCCTCAGGGAACTTCCTCTGTCGCGGCCCAGCAAACTTGAAGGCACCTAGGAGATCTATACTTTCTTTAGGAGTGATGCCTTATTTTTGCTTACATGAACAAGACCTAATTATGGCTCGAAGGGGAGTACAGAAGCAAGGATCCGGTTCGAGCCCGAAGCTGCTCTGAGTCGTGTAGCGACTTCCGGAGTTGCAGTTGATACCCTCTAAACACGAAGCCCTAAACCCTAAACCCTAAGACTCCTAGACCCCTAGACCCCTAGACCCTAGACCCTAGGTTAAGACTTATAACCGTAAACCCTAAACCCTAGACTCCTAGACCCCTAGACCCTAGATTAAGACCCTTGACAGTATACTCTCAGTGAGGTCAAAGCTTTTCACCCGGTGAAGGACGCGGTCAATGCACTGCGAACTGAGCGGGAACAGGCGCCCTTGGGGGCCCCCGCTGTGGAAGTTGGCAGGGAGGCTAGTGTCTTAGGGGGTTTAGGGTTTAGGGTTTAGGGCTTCGGGTTTAGTCAGCAAGTCCAGCTTCAAAAGGGTTTGGTGCTTAGAAAGGGTTCAGGGTTTCGCCAGATGTCAGCTGGGGCCGTTGAGAGCGAGCTTGCCTGACGCTCTAGGAGACGCATCTCACGATCATCGAGAACTACGTGGATGCGAAGGATGCTGAAGATCCACATTTGGTGGTTGTTCGTGTGCTAGGGCGCTTTGGGATGCATAAGCCTGGTGGGGAGGGGGTAAGAAGGAAACCCTAAACCCTAAACCCTAAACCTGAAAGGAAACCCTAAACCCTAAACCCTAAACCTGAAACCCTAGAGGGGAAGAGGGCGCCTAAGCGACCAGGACGACGTGCAGCTTGGATTCGAAATCTGAAGCAACTTGTTCGACCCTTTCCTCCCCTAAGAACATTTAGATAAACACCATCCGAAAACGGCCCTAAACCCTAAACCCTAAACCCATGCATCAAGGACGGGGTTGTGATTTTGCTGGCGCCGTCCCCAGTCCCCAATTTGGCTCAGCAAGCTGCTCTGGGCGCCCTCGGGGAGTCCGTAGAGGCCGCACAGGAATGGTCCTGTTAATAAAAACCCTTGACAGCCAACCCTAAGCTCTAAACCCTAAACATACCTTAAGTTGTATGGGGGCCCTTAGTATGGTTTAAGGGTGTATTTTCCGTATTTGAGGACTTACCATAAAATTATGACCCTAAACCCTAAACCCTAAACCCTAAACCCTAAACCCTAAACCCTGAATATGGTTTAAGGTAGATTTTTTTCTTATCCGAGGGATTTTTGAGGGCTCTTTGGGTTCCTGGCAGCTAGGGCTTCTTTGAGCCATGCCAGCGGATGAGAAGGCTCGGCAGGTTTCTGCACCTTGGACCTTGTGCATCTGAGAGATTTAGGGTTTCGGGTTTGGGTTTCGGGTTTTGGGTTTGGGGAGATTGTCCCCCAAGTCCCAGTCGCAACAAAAGGGAGCTTGCCTGCAACATGGTGTCGCAACTAAACCCTAAACTCTAAACCCTAAACCCTAAACTCTAAACCCTAAACCCTAAACCCTAAACCCTAAACCCTAAGTTAAGGGGTATAATGGGCTCTTTGGGTTCCTCTCCTTTCCTTAAGGTGGCCGTGCGGCTCCGGGGCGATGTGCGGGGTGAGGCCTTCGCCGCCGAGGCGCACGCGAGAGGAAAGAAAGGTAGCGCGAGGGTTTAGGGTATAGGGTTTAGGGGTAAGAGCCCAAGTCTTCTCAGTTTCGCAACCCTGGAAGATCCCATAAGCCCTAAGCCCTGCTAGGCAGGGGGCAAAAAACGCTAAACCTCCAGCCCTATGCCACTTGGCTTGTCCGAGTGCGCGAATTTAGACCCTAAGCCATAAACAGTCGAGACCCGAAACTCTGCACCCCAAACCCTAAACCCTAAACCCTAAACCCTAAACCCTAAACCCTAAACCCTAAACCCTAAACCCCAAACCCTAAACCTACACCCAAACCCTCAACCCTAAAGAAAAAGCCCTGGAGCCAAGAACTTTCAGGGAGGACTCCAAGGACCAAATCGAGGGCTTTAAGGATTTAGGCTTGAGGGGCGCGGGAGGGGGGGCGGGGGGGCTGGGATGCTTTAGGGTCCAGGCTTTAGGGTTTAGGGTTTTAGGGTTGAGGGTTTAAGGGTTGAAGGGTTGAAGGGTTTAAGGGTTTAAGGGTTTAAAAGGGTTAAGGGTTTAAGGGCTTAAGGGTTCAAGGGTTTCCCAAAGAGCCCAATACACCTTAATTAAGGAATGTACCTTAAATCACATTAAGGATCCCTATATAAACTAAGGTATTTCCCTTAATTAAGGGGTGTTGGGTTCTCTGGGTTTAAGGGTTTAGGGAAGAGAGGGCCCACATCCCCACTGCGAGGCGGCACGCCTGGATGATCTGCGGCGGGGGCCTTGGGCCATTCGCAGGGGGGTTTTAGGGGTTTAGGGTTACCTAAACCCTAAACCCTCAACCCTAAACCCTCAACCCTCAACTCTAAACCCTAAGCCCTAAACCCTAAACCCTAAACCCTAAACCCTCTTGGGGGACTCTGGGGGTCCGGATCTTCGTTGCGCCAGCACACAGGGCTTTGAAGCAACATGTGGTTTAGGGTGTCCGGGAACGGTGCACGGCCAGATGCAGCCCATGACCCTTCATCAAGGAGAGTGGAAACCCTGAACAGGGTTGAGCATGTGAAGTGTTGCGAGGTTTCGTTAATTCTAGGAACAGGTTCCAAATGAGGCGAGCTGTGCTTTGGCTCTTGACGCTGGATCGCATGGTCTCGGACTGCCTCCTAACGTGCTGTTTAGAGTTACCCTAAACCCTAAACCCTAAACCCTAAACCCTAAACCCTAAACCCTAAACCCTAAACCCGAAACCCTGCTCAGGGCCGGCGACTCCTGGCACTTTGATCATGCCACTGGCTTGCGGAGAGTGGTGTTCAGATTTGGGCTTAGGGGGCTGATGGTTGAGCAGATTTTGCAGGTTTAGGGTTTAGGGTTTAGGGTTTGTTTCCTCTTCTTTCACTCAAATCCCCAAGGAAAGGGCTGCATACTTGTAGCTGCACCGGGTCTTGCTTGGTTTTTGATAGTGACTTCGGCCGTGCTGCTGCTTGCTGCCGGAGGCAGCCGACACAGATCAAGGGGGAAAGCCTACTGGGTGAAGGTCAACTAAAGCAACGAACAGCTTCAAAACGTTCTCACGTCCCCCCCCCCATTGTTTCAATAGGGCCAGTTTTCCACAACCCAGGTGTATCAGCCCAGCAGCACCAACAGCGAGCTGTTCGAGACCTCGGTGCCCTCTTTTTTCGGGGTGAAGTGGAGCCTCTTTCTAGGTCCGCTGCCAGCCTTGAGCACCAGCCCTCCCAGCCGCTCTGTAAACCAGGTGATAGCGTCTGCAAAATGTCGATGGGCCCTAAAGTTCGGTCAACGCCTAGAAGTCGTATAAACCCTAAACTGCAAGGGACCAGCCCCAAACCCTCAACCCTAGAGTCAAAACCCTGACGAGGCGGGTGGCAAAAAAAAAGCCCTGACGAGGTGCAGCACGTGGTTGCGGGCGTCTGCCGTGGCACCGGCGGCATTGTCCTTGCCGGCGGCGTGGCAGCGCCTTGACCCTTCCCAGTTGCACGGCTTGGTGTGGCAGAAGGGGGTTTAGGGTTTCGGGTTTAGGGTTTAGGGTTTAGGGTCCAGGTCTGCCTGCAAACCAGAAGGGCAAGCTTGCTGTTGGGGCGTGACAGAAACCCCTGCATCTGCAAATCGTCATCTTGGGTGCACACCGGTGATGGTGCCTGCCCAGGCAACCCCTACAGCTTCAACAGTCCTGATCCAAAATCCCCCAAACCTCGTAAACAAACCAAAGCCACCAAACTGCTCTACCTAAGCCGTTTCAACCCCCCAAACACCGGAAAAGCCAACACTGCTTGCTGAGGAGGCTGGGAGGATCCTTACGGGCAAGGCCGGCCTGTCAGGACTTTAGCGTCATGACAATTCATTCCTATATAAGACAGATATGGCCCCAAGAATAAGATTAAGGGTCCCTTCTAGGGGTCCCTGCTTATACCCCTCAACTGCAGAGGTCACCCTAAACCCTAAACCCTAAACCCTAAACCCTAAACCCTAAACCCTAAACCCTAAACCCTAAACCCTAAACCCTAAACCCTAAACCCTAAACCCCAGACCCTAAACCCTAAACCCTAAACCCTAAACCCTAAACCCTAAACCCTAAACCCCTAACCCTAAACCCTAAACCCTTAACCCTTATACCCCTTAACCAAACTGCAGCAGGGTGACGATGACAGTCTCGGCCTCGGCTGGAAAAAGCACGGTCATCCTGCCCCCTGTCCTCGGGCTGTTGAGGGTTTGGGGGTTCCGGTTCAGGTTTAGGGTTTAGGGTTTAGGGTTTAGAGTTTAGGGTTTAGGGTTTAGGGTTTAGGGTTTAGGGTTTAGGGGGCTTGAGGGTTTGGGGTGCAGGGTTGAGGCCTTGTTTTGCCGGTTTGTACAAGGTCTTGTGGGCCGCGCGGTGCAGCAGATCTTTGATGAGATCTGCAGCCAGCGCTCGCGCAGGCGCGCAGTCAGGGGACACAGATAGGCGGCATGCGGGGCTGCTCGCCGCGTTGCGATTATCTAAGCCGTGATCGTGAGAAGGTATATGCTGCACGTGTCCTACTTGGAGATGCTTTGGCTGCAAAGCCCCCATGCCCAACGACACATGAATTCCGCAACGAAAATACGAACACACCCTCAGCAACCCCTTGCCCTAAACCCTAAACCCTAACCCCTAAACCCCTTTAGCTTCAGGATTTTGCAGGCTTCTCAGCATATCGCTCCCCAGGTCCATGGTAAAAGGCCTCAGGTTCTGTGTGCTTAGCCCTGCGGACTGCAGAAAAGACCGGGCCTTGAAGGTAGGGCCCAAGATGCAGCAGTAAGGGAAGTTGCATGGTCCCTGAACATGGTACCCTTACCTTCTGCAAAACTACCAATTGCTTAAGAACCACGGACAAATTGAGATTCCTTATTACAGGTAATATAGGGAACAGTTTTTGATTTTTTTTTGGGGTTCCTAAGCAAATAATAGAAAGGGGTTCTTAAGTGTGAGCCCTCGGATCCATGGTGTGTACAATGGTTCCCAATCAAGGGCCCACAGGCCCTGGGAATGGACCATGAGACTAAAACTCTGAGAAGTAGGCGGAGGCCCACCTGTTGCTGTCCAACTTACTTCATTCAGCTTTTGAGTTTACATATCTTTCACCTGGGAATACACATGCATATGTACATGTGTATCTGTACATATGTATATATATATATACATATGTCTGTATATATATATATATGTATTTATATATATATATATATATATATATATTCACAGAATAGTGAGTGTGAGAGTATGTGTGTGTGTGTGTGTGTGTGTGTGTGTGTGTTCCCTGGTTGTTAACGAAAGTCCCAACAACGCATTTCAGTTTTTTTCGGAATGCCACCTGCGACCCCTACATTCTGTTTCTCGCTACTATCTAGACATCGAAAGCAGCCCAAACTTTGAACCCTAAACCCCAAACCCTAAATCCCTAAAGCCTAAGCCCTAAAGCCCTACATCCCTAAACCCTAAACCCTAAACCCTAAACCCTAAACCCTAAACCCTAAAACCCTAAACCCTACAAGGTCCTCGGACAGCTCACTCGGCCCCGAATCCCGAGGATGACCTCCACGCGCATGTGGGACCTTCTCGCCGGTGGTCGGGAGGCGCTCCAAGCCGACTGCAGGCTTTCAGTTGCTGTACTGGTTCGGGCTTTGGGGTTTAGGGTTTGGGGTTTAGCAAAAAGGGTTTAGGGTTTAGGGTTTAGGGTTTAGGGTTTAGGGTTTAGGGTTTAGGGTTTAGGGTTGCTCATTTGCAAAAAGGGTAGAAGGGCTGAGGGTATTGGGTTTCGGATGCAAGCAGGGTTAGAGTATCGGACTGGGAAGAGAGGCCCAAAAGAGCCCGAGCCCCCCACGAAAGCCGCATGGATAATGGGAGCGGTGGCTCAACTCCGAAAGTTCATTTCCCCAAGACATAAAACACAGGGATCTCGTAGACATGCTTGTGCTATATAAAAGTATCTTATATATATATAGGGGGCTGTGCTGGAGGTTTGCTTAAATTAAAGGCCCTTGGACGTGACAAACCCCGGTAGCCTTCGAGACCTGGATGCAAACAAAGGCTCCTTGGCCATCGCATCGAGGACACAAAAACCCTGAGCGAAAGGGGCTCCCGGGTTGCGGGAGCAAAAGGCTCAGCAACAAACTTGTCCGAGACTGGGTTTTAAAAAGGGTCGGCAAGAAGGCTCGTGGAGCTGTTTTGTGACTATTGCTAACTGGCCTCGCGCGTGTGGAGCTTAGCCGTCGCTCCTGGCCCGAATGCGAAGGGTCAATAGAGCTCCCGGTTGAAGAACAGGCAACCGTAAACCTAAGCCCTAAACCTCAAGCCCTCAACCCTAAACACCCGAAACCCATACCGTTAAAAGAGTCATTCGTAGGGGCCCTCGAAGCCGCTCAAGCCCGCGTTGGCATCCTGTTTCGGCAGGTGAAGCTCGATGACCGGCATCGCGCGAAGGATGCGGCGAGTTTTTCGAACATCGATTTTGGAGTGTTCGCTTAAGGGGGCTTAGGAAGTTTAGGGTTTAGGGTTGAGAGGTCGGGGAGATAAAGGGCTTAGGAAGTTGAGGGTTTAGGGTTTAGAGGTCGGGGAGATACAGGGGGGCACCCTTGAAATTCCCATGAAAAGGGGGTTAGGTTCCCTTGTCAGCCCATTAAACGACCAAGGGCAGGGCTGCCTTGGTTTTGAAATGTTACTTTGGAGCCCACGATAGGCTGCAACTTGGGCTTTGAGGGGTCGGGAACCTCAGAGAATCAACAAGTGCCAGGGTTTTGACTCCGATGGGTCTTATGGGTCTTTCCATCTATCGCACTGAAGCCTCGACCGCCAAGAGCGAACATCCCACCTAGAAGCTGCAAACCTCCGAACGCCCCAAACCCTGAAATCCAAGATTTGAGAAGCGAGGCCCTGAGGCTCTCATCCCCGCTGGAGTCCGCTAGAGGGGGTCACAAGACTTATGCTAGGCAGGCCCTTGAGATATCTTGCATCTTCCCTTGAGGGGTTTAAGCGGATCTTATTTAGGAATGTTTTTTCAGAGGGCTTATTTAGGGCCATCCTGGGATATGACAGGGTCGACAGGGTAAGTGGAGCTCAAATGCCATGGTGGCAGGAGATTTCTCGACGGGTCGTCCGTCATGGTCCCGAAGACATCAGTGAGTGTTTGAGCGAAGGCCACCGACTGCACGGGTGCACGCCGTGTTTTTTTTATTCGCAATTTAAATATACTTCTGAATCGTACAAAGACCCATCAATTCTCTTCAGGGCAGCATGGTTTACTATTGCGCGCAAAGGCCTGAGTTTGCAGGGCTCCTTCATGTGCCTGGATTGTGGTGGGCGACTTTTATTGGAGACATGTCGGTGGCGGGTGTTTGGCAGCAAAATGTACTAGCCATATGAGGTTGCATTGTTTGGCAACACTTTCGAAGTTTTGTGGGGGTTGCGGATGAGTGGCTTTACGGGTTCGGCTTGGGGCTTCAAACTTCTGCCTGAGCGTTAAAAGGGCAGCGCGACTAGCGGCCGCAGACCCGGGGCCAGGTACCTGGCTTTGCTTCGCTGGGCTTGCTGCCACAGAATCGTTTTTCTGGGCATGAGAGCCCGTAAACCCCATCGAAAGCTTTTGTGCGCAAACCCCGACACCCACGACATGTAGGGCCTCTTTACCAATGTAGGAGCCCACTTGATTAGGCCTGGTACTTATGTACTTTAACCCGACCATGCGGGCAATGATCTCGACTCGACCAGGGAACCAATGCCGTGGCCACGCGAACCTCGCGAAGGAGCTGGCTGCAGGGTTTCTTGGGCTATTGTACAATTACACCACCGAAGACCCCAAACAGTCAAAGGCACGTCTAAGAAACAGTGGAGACGACTGGAGACACAGGGAGACGAAGGGAGACAAAGGGAGACAAGGAGCCCAGGAACCCTGGTCCTCAGAATGTCGGCAATCCTTAAATGAATTTAGAACCCCAACAGTAGACTGTTTGGGGAATAAGAGTTTTTGCTAAGATGTTAATATAATTGTATAATAGCATAAACAAGTTATAGTCAGATGAGTAGACAGAGCGAGATACCATTACAACAAAATAGTAGATGCTTGCAGGGTTCCAAAAGGATCGTGTCCTGATGTAGAGAACTGAACACATCATTTCAAGCTTTACTTGTCCTGGCTTTCACGATGCAATCATCTCACCCGGGAATTTTCATGTCCGGTCCTGGGGTGCTAGCTAGACCTCGTGGTTGTTTGCGTAGGATGGATTAAGCATGTGTGGACCTCTGTGTGTAAAGTAGCAGTATGAATTCGTGAGAAACCTGTGACGTAGCTGATATGTTTGTCCTTTCATGCTTTAAAGCCCTGCGCCTGAAGACTGAAGATGTCGTTCGTTTGAGGTCACACAGTGTCTTCGTGATCGACATGGGCTTCAGGTGGCCGTCTCACAAGCGCGATTGGGTACGTTTGATGAGCAGGGTAAGACACATAGCACTTGGTCTCGATATACTGCTAGTACTACTGCTATGATTACGACTTCCACTATGACCATGACGACGACACACGACTACTGCCACTGGAAATGACTACAACCACCACCACCATCATGACCACCACTACTGCACTGCTACTGCTACTGCTACTGCTACTGCTGCTGCTGCTACTGCTACTGCTACTCCTACTCCTACTGCTACTGCTACTGCTACTCTACTACTACTACTACTACTACTACTACTACTACTACTACTACTACTACTACTACTACTACTACTACTACTACTACTACTACTACTACTACTACTACTACTACTACTACTACTGCTACTGCTACTGCTACTGCTACTGCTACTGCTACTGCTACTGCTACTGCTACTGCTGCTACTGCTACTGCTACTGCTACTGCTACTGCTACTGCTACTGCTACTGCTACTACTACTGCTACTACTACTGCTACTACTACTGCTACTACTGCTGCTACTGCTACTACTGCTACTACTGCTACTACTGCTACTGCTTCTGCTACTCGTGCTATTGCTACTGGTGCTATTGCTACTACTGCTACTGCTGCTGGTGCCTACTACCTACTACCTACTACCTACTACCTACTACCTGCTACCTGCTACCTACTACCTACTACCTACTACCTACTACCTACTACCTACTACCTGCTACCTGCTACCTACTACCTACTACCTACTACCTACTACCTAACATACTACCTACTACCCTACCACCCTACTCCCCTCCTGCCCCCACTACCCTACTACCCCTTCTACCCTACTCCCCTACTACTGCCCTGCTGGCCTGCTAACCCTACTATCTACCATCTACTGCGACAGGCTACTGCTGCCTGCGAGCTGGCATTAACCTGCTTGAACCTTAAACCCAAGCCTACCATGCTCCAGGGTCCGGTACAGCTCATCTTCTGGCTCAGGCTTTTGGGGTTTGGAGTTCTGGGGTCGAGCTGATGTGCCCGTGGCTGACCCACGAAGGTCTGCAAGCGAGACCAAGACGCAGAAGTCAACTTTGACACTCGGCATCTGTTTGCAGGCCAGAGAGGAGGGGAGGAGTGTTTGTTTCATCAAACCACAGCCGAGGAGGGCACCGGGCACCTAGTTGAACACCTCTAGAGCCACCAGGACGTGGCGGGGTTTTGTCCATGGCCATACACCTCAAGCCACAAAGCACACAGGGTCGAGTCATTTTTTGTGTAACTGTCCGATGTTATCACGGAGCATAGGTATCAGAAGGCAGCTTGTCAAGTTGTGAGCGGAGCACGATATCGAGCACGAAGTGCTGCTTGCTAGGATCCCTGCGAAGGGAGTTGGGAACAAGTTGTGGGGTTGGTTTTTTGGTGACCATAAACATGTTGCCATAGCGCAGCTCATTTTCATCTGGGCCAGAGGTCCATGGGACAATGCTAAGCGGCGTCAAAGGGCATTGCAAGATGAGGTGGTGATAGCTTCGCTTTCTTCTGACTGTCGCACATTGAACCGCGCAAAGCAGACACGCCCATACCCGCTATTTGCGGAGCGTCGTGTGGGTCTGGTGTCATAAGCATCGGTGTGGCGAGGTGGGCCAGTCTTTTGGACACCCGCGATTTCCAGGTTGCCATCACTGGAGAGCATTGTATTCACAGCGTTTCCTTTGCTTGACGTACTCACAACCTCGACATTTAGATGGCAGTTTCGGCGTCCAAGAAGAACTCGAAACCAAGGACATTCGTGGACTTGGATGGCTTGGACAGCGCTCCTCCGTCGGAGGCACTTCAGGAGGATCCCTGAGCCCTGAACAGAAGACAGTGGCCCCTCTGGCCTCTCTCTGAAAGCCTACCGGTTGAAAGAATTCAGCTTCTACTGTTGCCCAGAAGCAAATGCAATATGCAGAAACAGGTTGCAGGACACGGATTCTAAGCTTCAATCCTGCAACCTCAAGTATCGCGAGTGCCAGGCAGGGCGAGAGCCAGCCCGCCGCAACCTGTCCTTTTTGGGCCGCCACCCGGCTGGAGTTTGGCTCCACGCTGCTGTAGCATTATCGTACATTAGCCAAAAAGGTCACATAGCCATGTACAAAACCTTGTCAAGAGACCCGAAAGTTCTCAATCGCTTTTGCTGGCCCTAATCCTAAAGTCTTTGAAGCCGCTGGAAGCAAGCATACCTGCAAGCCCCCAAGCCCCATGAGTCTGTTCCTAAAGCCGCTTCTAATCCCCAAGCCCCCCACTAACCGCATAACCTGAAGAACGTTACCCTACCCCCCCCTCCCCTACCCCCCCCTCCCCTACCCCCCCCTACCCTACCCCCCCGCCCGACCCCAACTAAATCTAGGGTCTCTCCGACGCCTCTCCGGGCCACTCTGGGCGCTCTTGAGGCGCCTCGGAGGGTTTTGAGGGCTTGGGGGCAAAACTGCGGGTTGCGGGTCAAGAGGGTCAGAAGACCTTCAGGATGTTGAGAGTCCGTCCGGCCTCAAAAAGAAGGGAATTTCGGGGGGGATCCGCGGAGCAACCCAGAAAACTGGCCGCTTGGCGGTCGCACGTTGTTCTCTGCATGTTAATTCGCCTTACAAGTTTCGATAACTGCTGACAATGGTTTTACTTAATCTATGCAAGGATGTCGGGGTCTTGCTTGGCCTCGATGCTTCGAGGACTTGCAGGGCTTTGGGGGAGGGGGGGCGGACATCGTCGTCTAGGGTGTCTCCGGCACGGGGTAAAAAAGGGTTCGGAGGCACGCCTTCATACGGGCACTGGCTTCCCCAACCCTAACCAAGGGGTATATCCCAACCCCCTTCTCCCCCAGGTAGAATTGAGTCCAAGCCCCCTTAAAGGGACCCCCAACAAGGGTACCCCTATTCTCGGAAACCCTAACCCTAAACCTCCCTGATGATCGGGTGGGGGAGTATGGAGGCGGCCATTGGAGGCCAGCCTGAGCATGGCCTTGGACCCAGATTGGACTTAAGGCGCCGGTGGCTTGCTTGAATATGCTGAGTGGCCTGTAGCTCTCAGTCAGCAGTTGCTGTAGCGCCACATGTCAGGGCTTTAGCCTGAGGGCGCAGGACTCAGGTTGGGGGTCATGGCGGATGCCAGGCTGTGTCGTAGGCGGAGATTTTCTCAGGGACTTGACATCGTTCTTCTCAGAGCATATGGCTCATATACGACGCCTGACATGAGCAGACCCTTCGACTCATAGTTCTTCAGCTTCAAAGGCACCACACACAGCCAAAAGACTCAAGAAACCTGAGGCGACTGCTGCCCTTGGAGTTTTTCAGAGTGCGAACCAACTGCGCAGACACAGGTGCACGAACTTGAGGGACCCTACCAAAGGGTTTAGGGTTTAGGGTTTAGGGTTTAGGGTTTAGGGGGCATAGTTTTGGTGGAGACTCTGACGCCCTTGGCGTCGGGAGCGGTGGCGCCATGCCTCTTCCGGAGCTCATCGAGCCACTTGGCTCCTCAAAGTTATGTGAAAGGAAGTAATAACCCTAAACCCTAAACCCTAAACCCTAAACCCTAAACCCTAAACCTTAAACCCTAAACCCTAAACCCTAAACCCTAAACTCTAAACCCTAAACCCTAAACCAAGCTGGCATCTTCAGGATCGTCCCGCTCTCCCGGGAGCAGCTGGAGAGCTTCGCGACGTCCAAGGTGGGCCGTGGCTACAAGGGTTTAGGGTTTAGGGTTTAGGGTTTAGGGGTTGGGGTTTAGGGTCAGTGGGGATCCGGAGGGAATTTCGGCTTTGCATGTGGCTGAAGAAGGAAATTCCCACCTTTCTCGTCATGCAGTAGGCGCTGGAGAGGGTACACATCCGGCTTTATTGTGTGGCGTCCTTGCATGCAAGAGTATGATTTAGATGCGCATTCGTGTGCACATATTTCGAGCTGGCTGGTAGTGTGGTTGGTTGAAGCAATTTCAAGGAGCAACAAAACCCTAAACCCTAAACCCTAAACCCTAAACCCTTAACCCTAGACCCTAAACCCTAAGCCCTAAGCCTTAAGCACCTTTGCTTCAGCAGGCGGAGATCATGGTCCCTGGCTCCAAGAGCAGCTTGGCTCTGCGTTTACAGTGCAAGCTCAAAGTCAGGTACTTGCACCACCTGCCTCTTTGCAACGCGGTGGGCACGTAGTATGCCGGTAGGTCACCTTGAGGGAATCGCGGGCCTGAGCAACCAGCAGCTGTAGGTAGGATTTGAGAACCTGCTGCCCTTTTCGTGAGGCATCACCAACCGCGCTGCTGGTTGGCACTTGGCACGGCTGGTCCTCCCCCTGCTAGATGTCGACAACGCTTCCGAATCCTTGTAAACTTGGACCCTGCTCGGAGTTCATGCGTCTCGATCCAAAACTCTTGACATAAACCGAACATCCTTACAACGGCGGTGGGGTTGGCCGATCTGTTGAGCATGATTTGAACGGCCCAACTGGCTGTGTGCAACGCCTTACGGTCCTGCGGAGCCTACAGCTGCATGCGATTATTGTCAGTAAGGCCATTGTGCTGGCAGCGCTGGGGAAAGGCAAGGTGGTTCTCAAAGGAGAGCCGGGTCGACCAACACCCTTTCATTTCAAAGTGCTGAAGCAGAGTGCATGCGGACGGGTCATGGCAACAAATGCGCCCGCTCGTCGGCAAGGTATACTTTGCTTTTTGTATTCCACTAGGCGGGTCGAAGATGGCACAGTGTCGCGTCCAGCCTGTATAGATGCGAGTGTACCTTGGGGGTTTACGCAAAGAGGGGACCCCAATATAGATCCCAAAGCAGTAGGATCCCCTCAGAATAAGGACCCCAAGAAGGTACCCCCCTCTTGTCGGAAACCCCCCCCTTGTGCCTATGGAAGGAGCCTTGTGGAGCGAGGACACCGAAGCGATGGTGGACTGCATGCAGCGACGCCCGACAGCGGTGAGGGGGGCTCAGGGATTCAGGTTTAGGGTTTAGGGTTTAGGGTTTAGGGTTTAGGGTCAATTGGAGGGTGAGGGCTCGGGGGGTTCGTGAGCACCAGTTTCCTTCGGGGTTCCCCCTAACCCTAAACCCTAAACCCTGAACCCTGAACCCTGAACCCTGAACCCTGAACCTTAAACCCCAAACCCTAAACTCTAAACCCTAAACCCTAAACCCTAAACAGCCGAGGCTTGGGCATCCAGCTGGAGGCCGGTGAAATGGGCCACACGAAAGCAAAGCCCAGCCCATGATATGTCTTGGGATGTTCCCCCTTATGCTGACAGTCCTTAGTGGGGATTATACTAGGGGATACTATAAGCCCTATGAAGGACTGTTAGTCGAAGGGGGAACGTCACAGGTTATGGCCTTTCTCGAGGATTTTCCAAACTCTTCACTCGCCAGACCACCGAAAGCCAAAGTCTGAAGGTTATGATAATTCAGTCCTATATAAGACAGATATGGCCCCAAGAATAAGATTAAGGGTCCCTTCTAGGGGTCCCTGCTTATACCCCTTAACTGTAGAGGTCACCCTAAACCCTAAACCCTAAACCCTAAACCCTAAACCCTAAACCCTAAACCCTAAACCCTAAACCCTAAACCCTAAACCCTAAACCCTAAACCCTAAACCCTAAACCCTAAACCCTAAGCTTGTTGGGTGGCAAAAAAGAACCCTAAGCCCGAAACGCTCCGGGGTTTGCTGCGTAGGTGGCTCCGGACCCGGTGCTCGAGGCCAATCGCATCATCACCCTCCAAGGCCCTGGTGTCTTCTCGCGGGTTTAGGGTTTAGGGTTTAGGGGTCCGGGGCGGTTACTCCATAGCCATAGCCCTCGGTGTTGCATGGGAGTCTGGCTTGCCTTCAATGGCAGAAAGGGGCTTTGGTTGTAGGGTTTAGGGTTCAGGGACGTTGAAGGTTGAAAATGTACACCAGGAATCTCAGGCTTGTGGGGCAAAAAGCAAACGAGTACTTTGGGTGCAGAAGCGGGGGCTTCCGGTGAGTGCCATCCTTAGAAAGTCCTTTCGTCGTGGGCAACCCTAGTAGGTTAGAAGTGCGGATTGCCCTCGGAAGAGGCTGCAATGGCCAGCTGCCCAAGGGCGGCACTGCGGAAGTGGCTCAGCAACATCAGCAACAGTTTCATCGCTTTCATGCCTCATCGCTCTTTCACTTCTAAACCACAACCCCAACGCCTAAAGGCGTGTTGGAACGCCTGAGCCCTGGAACACTCTCGACATCCCTCGACCGGGCCCCGCCTCTTCTGACCTTAAACTTTACAACCGCTTGAGAGAGTTCTGCTGCAAGCTCCAACCAATCCCCTCTAACCCCTAAACCCTCGTTGCGAACCTACCGGAGCCTCGCCTGCGTCTGCAGTGAGAGTCAAAACCCTCCTCAAGCTCCAACCACTGAACCCTAAACCCTAAACCCTAAACCCTAAACCCTAAACCCTAAGCCCTAAGCCCTAAATCCTAAACCCTAAACCCTAACCCTAAACCCTAAACCCTAAACCCTAAACCCTAAACCCTAAACCCTAAACCCTAAACCCTAAACCCTAAACCCTAAACCCTAAACCCTAAACCCTCTACAGTAAGTCCGCGAGGAGCCCCTGGAGCTCTTCGTTGCCAACGCGGGCACGGCTGCGCGCTTCCTCTCGGCACCTTTCCTTGGATTGGGTCAGTTGGTTTTCGTTCTCCTGATGCCGATGATCACAGGCCTGTGAGGTCGAGCAGCCAGGATATGCTCTATTTCATCCCCAACCCACCCCAACATCTAGGGTGTGGGGTTAGGGGTTTAGAGTTGTGGTTTAGGGTTTGGGGTTAGCCTGCAGCCAAAACTCAGCTGGAGAGCCAGTGGGACTTGCATGACGAGTCCGTTGCGCTTGCGCCCGGGGCGGTTCAGAGCTGTGCTTGCAACTCGTAGGGAAGCTTAGGGAGCCTTTAGGGAGTAGTGGGGAGCATTAGGGACCTTGGGTTACATAGCCCCCTTGAACCCCCCTCCCCTAAGAAGCTGGCAAAACAAACCTGGGACCCCCCATACCCTCAACCCTCAGCCCTTGCCTGTCCAACAAAGGCCCCAGCCAAACCTAGGGAACCCAAAGCCCACCAGTTACTAGGCCCTAGGATTCCAACTTTCCTTTTCGGGATGTCAATTGGGAGCGCAACGTTATCAGGGCCTCACGCTGTAGGACTCTCATGTGCAAAGGCTATGGTCTGCCTCGGCAATGGCGTCTACCGCCTCAGCGGCGTTCCGCGCATGCACGAGCGCCCACAGAAGGAGGGCCCAAGCAGGGAGTTCCGATGTAGGGCCGTGGGGACGAAGAATGCCCGGGGAGGGGGGGGGAGGCGGAATTCAGATCACCGAGAACTTGGGGGTGACGGCGGCTCTAAACAGGATCTTTCCGCGCGTTCTGATGTTTGGGTGCTTTGGTGCCGGCTCTGGGTGCTTGTGCATGTTTCGTGACACCTCTGCGGCTCTGTGCGCATAAAGTTTGGCCCGAAAGTACTTACCAGCGGTGTGGTCCAACATCCTGACGAAGCATTAACTACCTTATGGGTCTACATCCTTATCATGGTGTTGCGCGCAGGGTCTTTCTATTTTGCAAAAAAAGACGGCTGTGTGGTGTTCGGCATAGGGTTTTGGTGTCGGGTTTGGGCCTTGAGGCTGTCGGGTCACGTGGGCCGTGGCCTGAAGAAATCCCATGCTGAGTCAGATCCGTCTCATGGGAGTCTATTTTTGTTTGTGCAGAATACAAGGGATGTGTGTGTCAAAGCATGATTGTCATGTTGGCTTGAAGTACTCTGGTTCGAGAACTTTGCCTGCCAGTGAACGCCACGCGGTCAGGAACCCAACCCAAAAAACATGTATGAATCGGCAGTCAGCAAGTCCTGTTTCCAGCACAGGCAAAATCTTTAAACACAGGGGTTCGGGTGGTCTCCACATGTGTGCAAGGACTCTCTAACCCCGAACCCGGATGTTGCCCCAATGTTTTGTGTTTTGTGTTCAGGGGTTGCACGGCTTC